GTACTCAGGCAACTTTTAAATATCCTCTTTGTTCTTATATTTGCATTTGTGCATGCATGTGTATGTTATTTAATTTGGAAACTTTTAGATTTTGCTAAAAGGTCACAAAGATCATATAGACAGTCCCATGTTCTCCATTTGGGGAGATTTTTTTCCTCCACTCACCACTGCTCCCAAGGATATTTGGAAATGTCTGGAGATGTTATTGGTTTTCACAATTGAATATGTATTTGATGTTTTCTGCTGCTATGTACCATATAAAACTTGAGACAGCCCCCAAAAGGGTTTCTCAAACCCAACACTATTAACAACGCATCCAGGCCTCATTGTTAATAGTATTAGGGTTGAGAAATCCTGCTCTGGACCCCACTTTGTTTCCCTAATAGTATTTTAAATAACTGTGGTAGATTGATCAAAAGAGAAATTAATATTCATTCAATATTATTACTCAACTATGGATAGTTTTAGTATTTCTCCATTTTTCTAGTTAGGTTCTTTTTTTTATTCCAGAATCTGCTTCTTCTGATTCTGATCCACTCTGTGACAGTTTCTGTTTTCCTTTTCATGATCTTGAAACTTTTGAAGTTGATGTAGAAGTGTTTCTTACTTGGGTATGGTACTGACCCCACCCACTGAGCATATAGACATGGGGTGTGTTAGGGATTATATCTATGGCTGGAGAGTATTTAGAGGGTAGTATTTAGAGGGTGGGGGTGAGAAACAAGCAGCATGATGCAAGTCTCTCTCCCTAACAAGGAGTTTCACAACTAAAATCCTAATAGCACACCCCCACTGGCACACTAAGAGATTAAGCCCTTCTTAGTACTTCATGTATAATGAAATGACTTGTCTCAAATCTAGAAATCGTTAAGTAGTAAATTTCAAAATGAAAGCTTGATTTTTAGAGTTTTAGACTAGGAACTTTTTGTACCTAACAATTACTATCTCACTTGAAAATGGAGGGTTTAATGTTTTCAGCATCAATTTAAATCTTTTGGAAATTTTTATGACTAAATAGATAAAACATTTTCATTGTGTTTGCTGAGGTACTGTAATAATCTATGAGTTGCACCCAATGGGAACACTGAATAAATTTATATAACTTGAATTCATGGTGTGGGATGTAGTTATGCGGACAAAGGAGAGTATTTGGGGTCAGAGGTGCATTGATGGAATTATCTGTGTCCTTCTACTGCTTAATTTTCCTTTTTAGCTCTTGTGCTTCCCCTAAGTGAATGCATGTGTTTACTGGTTGGTCTTCTGGTTCTCCTCCCTTAGAAAGCAAGGGGCACAGGAAAAGGGGCTTTGTTTACAGCTGTATTCTCTCTCCAATAGGGAATACCATGAAACTCATGTTTGAATAATATGTAGATGGAAAGATCAACACAAACAAGTATTTTTTGATTGTCATAACTGGCAATAGTACTACTGATTTCTAGCGAGTAGAGGCTGAATTTGTTGCTAAACATCCCACAATGCACAGATCATCCCCACAACTTAGAATTATCTGGCCTAATTGTGCTGAGCTTGAGAAACTCTGGTCTACTTCTTCCTGTGATCTGTGGAATAATGTTCCCTGGATACCATATACCATATTTACATTATCCATCCCCCTATTGATGGCTATTTAGTCATTCTGATTCTTTGCCATGATGAAAAGTGCTGCAGAGAATATTCTCATTAGTGTCTGCAAGAGTTTCTGGTAGCTATACTCTCTACTCTAGAAGACACTTCCAAATGCCACTCCAGAGGGGCAGGAACCAATGGCTCCCATGGCACCCCCTGAGATTCCAATTCCATGAATCTGTACCACAACTTGGTATCATTTGACTTTTAAATTTTAACCAGTTTGAAAAATTTAAAGTAGTTCATTTTCAAAAACAAGCTTTCATTTCCTGCAAATGTAAGGCTAAATATCAGGAATTATTTGTAGCGCAAGTGTTCTACAAAAAATTGATGAAAATATTTGTTCTGTAGCCTAAACCTCCAAAGGTGGAATAATTTTTTGTCCAGCATGCACCACTTTGTTTTGTTCACATATGTATCTCTGATACATATTATAGAATTATACTTTTTCAGAGAATAAGATTGGCTGTTTCTTGCCAGTAGAGGTCAGTGAAGCTCAATGATTCTCCACCAGTGTGATTTATTTATTTACTTCCCTATCCTTAACCCTAGTAATTATTTGGCACTGGAGATGCTGTTGATTGGCACAGCTGTGGGTGTGCTACTGGCACCTATTAGTCAGAGGCTAGGGATGCTGCTCAAACCCTCCAATGCACAGGACAGCCCCAACCACCAAGAATGGTATGGCCCCAAATGTCAAAAGTACCAAGTTGGAGAAACCATGCTGTGTGGAGTCCTAGAAAGAAAGCATATGACAATCTCTAGTAAAATAAAACTCTTGTTATTACTACTATATAAAATAAACACAAACACTTAACTAAGCTAACTGAGCCCATAGGGAGAAGGCCACCTTCCTGGTGAGCCTCCTCCCAGGGAGAAGGCAGGAGAGGGCTGGCAGGGGAAAGTCCAGGGTTGTGATCTGAGTAGTCTCTTTAGAGTTTGGGCTCCTCAGGGCAGGGAGAAGAGGTCTGGGGGTGGCAGACCTGTCAGGCAGAAGCAGTACGAAGTGAGCTGTTGGCTCAGTGACTCCTGTCAGGTAGAGGGGCCTGTAGGATAAAGGGACTGTGGCTTTGAGTCTCAGAGGAGGGTGGCATGGCTCTGACTCTTAGGAGCCAAGGAGGCGAGCGGGCTGAGTGTGCTCGGGCTCAGCAGGACCCTCCTGGTGTGGCCCCTGGGAAGGGGAGGAAGGCCTAGGCTCCTGGGACAGTGGGGCATCTGCTCCCAGGCCTGCAGCAGGGGCTGTGAGACCATGTCCTGGGCTGGCCTGGGAGCTGGGGCCGGTGGGGCAGGGGCCAGGGGAGGCCCCAGGAAGGCTGGAGGGCAGGCCATGGCTCAGTCTCTTCCTCACAGAGGCAGATGCCCTGGAGCGGACGCTTCTCTTCAGCGGCCCAGGCCTGGGCAGGAAGGACGGCTCCACTCCGTTTCTGATGACGGGCCTGAAGGCAGATGGTCAGCGCTGTGGGCTCTGCTGCTTCCTCTTGGGCTCAGGTTCCTCAAACCACAGGGCTCCATCAAACTTCCTTTTCCCTTTGTTGCACTGGCTGAGGTACTTTAGCACTGTCTCCTTGGCACAGGGGTCTGGGGCCGGCTGGGACGTTGGGCACCTGTAGAGGCTCCCTGGACCCTCGGGATTCGTTTGGACTTTGAAAGGGCTGTGGGGCCAACCTGGGTCTGGGGCGTGGCGAAGTCTGCGCTTCATGCATTCGTGGCGGACCTTGGTAAGTTGGGGTGTCAGGAGTAGCCAGAGGGGCAGCCTGTGCGGATTGTACCTCCCAGGCGGGGTGCCCACCGCCCTCCTGCCTCTGGTGTGGTCCCCACTGTGCAGAACCTTGTGGAGGGCTTGGGAGCGATCCCGGGGCTCTGGGTGTCCCGAGGCAGGTTTACAGATGCCAGGGTCCTGGGGGCGGGGGGCAGGCCTGGGCCTCAGAGGTCGGTGCTCCTGGGTGATTCTCCTGGGCCTCAAAGGCAGTGTTGCTAGGGCGGCCTTGCGTGTGCCCAGGTACCTGTGCAGGCGTAGAGTCCCGTGAGAGCGGTGGCGTGGGATCAGTGTCTTTGAGTAGGGATCTGGTTCACAGTGTGTGTGGTCGCAACTTGACAAGAAGCAAGTGATAGTTGAGGCAGGCAAAGCGCGTGGGGCGCCGTTTGCGGGGATCTGGCACCCGCCAGGCTCCTGCCCCATGGACAGGAGGACAGCATGGGGCAGAGTCGCACCTGGGGCACCCCATGCTATCTGGAGCTCAAGGAAAGCTCAAGCCTCTCTCCTCCCCATTGGTGCTCTCAGACACAGCCCTGGGCAGAGGGGCCTGGCACTTGCATTTTCTTTTCTACCTGCCAGGGAGAAAATGAAGGAATTTCTCCAGATAGCTATTTACAGAAGAGTACTCTCAACAGTGTAAAAATGACTATACTAAAATGAAATTCTCTTTTAAAAGAATAACAAATAACTATTTTTTTCCAGTTAAGGTGATTGCTTTGTGTTTGATTTGTATGCAGTGTATATGAATGCCATTTTTTCTTACTTTGCTCTTAAGAAAATGGTGAAAGCTATCCAGAATTTATGAGTTAGCACTGTTGATTTTATATGGACTCTCTTATAGTTTTGAGGTTCATGCCTCCTCATATAGATAGTCTTTTCTCTAAACACCAATGTCATTTATCTCTTTTCAATTATGGGTAATTCATGTGTATGGAATAGAGTGAGTCACATTGCCATTTTGTAGTTGAAAAGCATGTAACTACAAATCACGTATTCAAAGGCTGCTGGTGAATTGATTATAACACTTAAGTTTGGAGGTCTGTTCAAGGCAATATAAAAGCAACTGTTCCTGAGAACTCTTTCCTCAAAAGTACACGAGGAAGGCACCTCTTGGGATGGTCCCAATGCTCTGGTGGGGGGGGGGGTGTATGGACAGAAGTTGAGGCAGACAGTGCAAGTAGTGAATCAAGAATAATAAATTGATTCTGATTGAATCTGAGAGGAGGAAGGTAGAATAGACAGGGGGCCAGTAAACTTGATGAGGACATGCCAGAGGCTTCTGTGGTTTAGAGAGGGACCCAGTATTGAGGAAGCAGAGAAGCTTTCAGCTGCTAGATGATAGAGAACAATATCCTTAATGTTCTCCACTGCCTAATTCCTTTTTAATTTTTGTGGCAGATTCCTTCTTAAGAAATGATTCCTGAGTATATGATTTTAAAGCAATGAGAATTTCCTATATAATTTTTTTCTTATTAAGTCATTCCTTCAAATGGTAGAAAATAACTTTGCAAATATAACTAAGGTGAGTCATAAAATGGTAATTGCATCAGAAGAAACAGTGTAATGCCATTTGGGATGATATTCTTACGATGTATTTTTTTCTTTCCATTGTCTGCAGAATTTCCCATGTCCTACTTTGCAATGTAACCCAAAGGGTGTCATTCTGGTTTGTGGTTACAGACCCTTCAAAAAATCATACTCTTCCTGCTGTTGAAGTACAGTCCGCCATCAGGTAACTACCCCTAAATATACTTGCTTTTGGTTAGTTGACTTGCTGATTTCATAGATGTGGAAGAGTTCTCATTCTGCCCCATATTTGATTTATTGATTATGTTGTCAAAGATTTCATTTTTGTTAATTTTTATTAGAGATTAGAGGTAGATCATTGGCTCTCATCCAGGAGCAATTTTGTCTCTGAAGAGACCTTTGACAATGTGTGGACACATTTTTCTTGTCGCAACTCGAAGTGGGAGGTGTGCCACCAACATCAAGTAGGCAGAAGCTAGGGATGTTGCCAAACATCTTATGATGCACAGTGCAGCACCCCACACAAAGAGTTATTTGACTTCAAAGTCAATCATGCTATAGTTAAGAAACCTAGGTTTAACCATTAGCTAAGAATGTGTGCTATTGTATGTGTATGTGTGTATATATATATATATATATATATATATATATATATATATATATATTGTAGATGAGCACACAGTATCTTTATTTTTATGTGGTGCTGAGGATGAAACCCAGTGCCTCACACCTGCAAGGCAAGTGCTTTACCACTGAGCTACAGCCCCAGCCCGCTATTGTCTCCTTTTGGCAAGAACCCTTTGTGGCCCTATTCTTTAATGGTACAGGCTGTCAGGAGCCAGAATGCCTAGGTTTTTAATTTTTGGCATTGCCTGTTGATAACTATTGGAATACAGACAAGTTACTCACCTTCTTTTGGCCTTCCTCTCATCATCTATAAAATGTAATTATGGTACCCCTCTCTCAGAGCTATTGAGGTTAAATAGGTTAAATGATTTAATACATGTAAGGAGGTTTTTAAATTTTTTTTTAGTTGTATAATGCACACAATACCCTTATTTTACTTATATTTATGTGGTGCTGAGGATCGAACTCAGCACCTCACACGTGCTAGGTGAGCGCTCTACCACTAAGCCACAACCCCAGCCCACATGTAAGGAGTTTAAGCAACAGATCATACCATTGAATTTTATTTTAAAACCTAGAAAAATATCATCATTTCGTGAGTCTCTGAAGACTTATTTTTTTCAGTCTTTACCTTTAAAAGATAATTTAACAATAAAGATCATGACTCATGGGCTGGCGTTGTGGCTCAGTGTTAGAGTGCTCGCCTAGCATGTGCGAGACCCTGGATTCAATCCTCAGCACCCCATAAAAATAAATAAATAAAATAAAGATATTGTGTCCAACTAAAAAACGAATATTAAAAAAAGATCATGACTCATACAAATTAAAAATGAATACTATCAAAGGTTTTGTTATCTCCTTAATTAATGAGGGAACTAGTAAGATGTTGAAAGTATTTCACTTTTTTATTTTTTGGTATCAGGAATTAAACTTAACCACTGAGCTGTATCTCAGCCTTTTTATTTTTTATTTTGAGATAGGGTTTCGCTAAGTTGCTTGGGGTCTTGCTAAGTTGCTGAGGCTGGCTTTGAAATTGAGATCCTCCTGCCTTACCCTCCTGAGCTGCTGGGATAACAGGTGTGCATAAGTGTGCCTAGCTCATTGAAACTATTTCAAAGGGGACTTTAAGGAACCACACATATATAGGAATGAAGAATGATGAAATACATTTACAAATAGATGCATCCATCATTCTATCAGGCAGTTATGGATCATGTTCTACCAGACACAGTTTATTTGATTTTCTATGGACAAAAATCATTTGCATTATGTTAGTTTTCTAGAACTTATAGTTTTGCAAAACAGCTCAAAGACAATATGATGTAGAAATTGCCCCAAAAGATAATACTAAGAAGGAAATTTGGTTAAAAAAAAAGATTGAGTGCTTGGGATAAAGGTAGGGGAGGATGATAAATGTTCTCAACTAAATGTCTGTTTCAAAGGTCTTAGCAGGAGAAGCTATTTAGGAGATAGGGATAGTCAATAGAATGATAATTTATGTTAGGAATGAGTAACCTTTTTTGCCCATTTCAAGGGGGCAATTTTTCCTAAGAGTTGCACCCCTTTCCTCCTTGGAATCATAGCAAACATTCAAAAGTGAAACTAATTTTTTACTTTCAAGGAGTAAAGGAATGTAATTTGGTTTTATTTCAATTAATGCACACTTTGTGTGTGTCAGAACATCAAATGCTGCATGTGATTGATGTTGGGCAAAGGTATGTTCGAAAAATAAGTTGAGGAAATAAATTATTTCCACAGAAAGAAAGAACAAAACAAAGTAACCATCCCCACAAAAGTTTTACAAATTGCTGAAATGCATATTATTCTCTTTACCAAGGAGAAATTTCTAGTGAAAGAACTCATTTACTGTCTATAAAATATTAACAATTAAAAAATGAGTATTTAATCAAATGCCAAAGATTTTTGTGAATAAATGTCTGTTTTTCTTGCTGAAGCAAAAGCACTGAGGATCTATAGCAACAGGAAACGATTGAATCTGTTCTAATAAGGGTCTTTGAACTAAATTATTTTTGCCACTAAGAATACAATTAAGGGGTGGGGTTGTGGCTCAGTGATAGAGTGCTTGCCTAGCATGTGTGAGGCAATGGGTTCGATTCCCAGCACCACAATAAATAAAATAAAGATATTGTGTCCACCAAAAACTAAAAAGTGAATATTAAAAAAGAATACAATTAAAACCCACCCCTTAGGGAGTAATAACTAGCACTATCAAATTTCATGGTAAAAGAGATTTTGTTCAAGTCTTGTGATTGGGAGGGCTTCAGGGAAAATGACAGCACTGTAGTTAAACTAGGCTTCAGTTGATGTGAGGAGGAAGATTGTTTGGGGTAAAGGTAGGGGAAGATGATAAGTGTTCTCAACTAAATGTCTGTTTCAAAGGCCTTAGCAAGAGAAGCTATTTAGGATGTAGGGATGGTCAATAAAATGAGAATTTATGTTAGGAATGAGTAGGGTATGCCAGACTGGAATAAAAATAAAAGAAACAGTGCTAAGAAGGAAGAATAGAGTGGGGGAGGGGAAAGGAGATGGTACCTAGAGAGTAGGAATTTCAGGGCCGAAGAATCTATGTGGCTGGGCAAAATAGTTCTACCTCATATTTACATAACATTTTCTGGTTCATAAGTCATGTCTTATGCATCTGTGGCATTTAATTTTAATGCCAATAATTTTTGAACATAGGCTCATTTTCCTTGTTTTAGAAATGAAGAAACTGGGGATCAAAGAGATTTATTGATTTGCTAAAGCTTTTTAGTGTTTTGGTCAGCTTTTTCATTGCTCTGAAAAAAGGCCTGACAAGAACAATTTTAGAGGAGAAAAAGTTTATTTGGAGGCTCAAGGTTTCAGAGGTCTCAGTCCATAGATAGCTGGCTCCATTCCTCGGGGCTGGAGGTGAGGTGGGACATCACAGGGGAAGAATATGGCAGAGGGAAGCAGCTCACATGATGATCAGGAAGCAGAGAGAGAGACTCCACTTGCCAGATATAAAATACATACTCCAAAGGCACGTCCCCAGTGCCCACCTTCTCCAGCACACCCTACCTGCCTTCAGTTACCACTTGGTTAATCCCTATCAGGGGATTAATTCACTGATTGGGTGAATTAATCAATCAACTGATCAGCTCTCATGATCCAATCATTTCACCTATGAATATTCTTGCTTAGTCTCACACATGAGCTTTCGGGGGATACCTAATATCTAACCCATAACACTATGCTAGAAAGTTTAGAAAGAGTGAAGACTTGACCTAGGCATATTCTTCCATACCTACAGTGGTTTTAAATCTATACTATTTATACCTGTAGAATGATGCAAGGAAAGGGGCAGCCATTCTAAGATGTGTGCTGTTGCTCTTTTGTGAGGATCTGGCTAAATTCAACTCTGGTCCTAGTTGGAGATATCCATGGTGACTGATGCCAATTGGGGACTCCTGTAGTAGAGGAGATTTAATCTGTGTATGAGCCAGAACTTTTATTCAGCCTGAGAGGTGATAGAATACATTTCCAGCCTGGAGTGCAGCAAAGGGTTGACCAACCGGGTAGGTAGAATCAGTGTGCAGAAAAACTTTTCATTATTCTCTGAGTTAGATGTTAGTAGTGGGGTTCATTATTTTGTGGAAAGGTTTGTGGTCCCAAATTATCAATATTTAATTATGAAAAGGAAACCATTTTGTGGTTTGATAAAAACATTTAAATTATCCCTTGCTATAGATTACCTGATTGCCTCAATATAGGGTGTGTGTGTGTGTGTGTGTGTGTGTGTGTGTTGCTGGGGATTGAACCTAGGGCTTCACACATACTAAGTGGTATTCAACCACTGATCAACACCCCAGATCTCATTATAGATTTTTTTCTTCTTAATTTGCTAAAGAAGGCTTTCTCTGATGGGCTAGTGCTGGTCTGTGGCATTTCTCAAGTCATTACTTATTATCAGGCTCTAGACCTAGGCTATCCAGTATTGGAACTGCCAGCCAGGTATACCTATCAAACACTTGAACTGTAGCTAGTCCAAAATGAGATGCTTGCTAAGTGTAAAATACCAAATTTCTAAGGCAGTATAGAACAAAATATAATACAATTCAATATTGATTATATTGAATTGTATTTTTGAAATTATATTTTCTTGGAAATATTAGACAAAAATACATTATTAAAATTAAATTTACCTGTTTCTTTTTACTTTTTTGGTGAAGCTACTAGGAAACTTTAAGTCACATAAGGTTCATATTATTTTTCTATTTTCCAGGCTGCTGTAAAGGTAGATGAAGTCTATTTGTATAGTGTGAATTCAGTAAAGACCATAACATATCTCCAAGGAATTGTTTCACCTAGTTTGTAATTCCAATTAGAAATTCACTTATTTGTTTTCATTTAAATAAGTCTTTGCTACCAATGCCTTTCTAACTATTGTTACCACCAAAAATACAAGGAAATAAAGGGAAAAGTAACACATTTACCTTTAGATTTTTCTAGGTTTTTGGTTTCCTGAACCACCATTGCCTTTAGTCATATGGAACCACTTGCAGTTTACTGAAGTACTTTACCATGATTCTATTACTGTGCTTACTGCATACTTTGGTCTAAAGAATTCCTGCTTGTCCCTCAAAGCACAGCTCATTCACTATAACATACTTGGTCCTCTCCTGTGCTCCCACTGTGCCCATATTTGCCTCTTTCACAGAACATTTAGCACTGCACTACTGGTGTGGATATACTAATTTGCTACCCTTCAAGAGTGTAAGCTCCTGAGCATTTTTATTTCATATTGTATCTCCAGCACCTAACACAGTTATCTAATACTTAGTAAGTTTTTGGCAAATGTTTGTTGAGTTAATGGAAAGAAATCAAGTTGATGAATCTGAAGACACTCTTAGTTCGTGTTTTTTCTGTTCCTGGTTTTCTTCCCATTCTTCTCACTCACCTTTTACATACAGTTTTACCTCATGGGATTGTTGGTATTTATGTAAGCACCTTAAGTAGAGTTCTGTTATTGTAATCTAGAAGCTATTTCTCAGGAAATAAAACATGGTGGGCAGATTGATTTAAAGCTCAGGACTTTTAGTTACTTCTAGGACATTCACAATAATGCAGGTCAGCAGTGTAATAGATGGGCATCTCTGGCAACCAGCACTACAAATTACTAAATGAAACCTCAACACGATTGTCCTTAGCAAAATTTCTAGTCAACCTGAAGTCTCCTGCTAGGAGAATGCTTTGTTTATAGAGATATTTATACTTTGTTTCTAGTGCTTTTTATTGTCTTATTTTTTGCTTGTTTTTGATTATGATTGAATTTTAGAATGAATAGGAACCGGATCAACAATGTCTTCTTTTTGAATGACCAGACTCTGGAATTTTTAAAAATTCCTTCTACTATTGCACCACCCATGGACCCACCTGTTCCCATCTGGATTATTATTTTTGGTGTGATATTTTGTATCGTCATAGTTGCAATTACGCTACTGGTCTTATCAGGGATCCGGCAACGAAGAAGGTAAGCTATTTAATGGGAATGAGTTAAGAAGTATTTGCTTATTTTCTCATGACTTAGAAAAATTAGATTTTCCTCTGGCTGAAGGTAATACCTTAAAGTTGAAAAAAATGGTGATTTTTAAAATATCACTTATTCTTTCTGCTTTTTTGGTTAAGAGTTCAGTGTCCTTTGCTTAATGAAGCTCCTTCCATTACTTACTTTCTTTCTATTCTATACCATATGAGTATTTCTTATCTGTGTTGTGATTTTCTAAGCTGGATACATGGAATGAAGCAGAGTTCAAGTAAATGGAGTTAATCTTTGGTAGTCATCCACATCCAGATACCAATAGTTCCACAATTCTTTGAATGTCTCCCTACCATGGCTTGCCTCTTCTGGGCCCAGGGCCTACAGGCCACCCTCTATGATATATAGAACTATGTTTCTCATGGTCTTTGAATCAACTCCCTATGTCAGAATCACCCAGAACACTTGTTTGAAATGTAGATTCCTTGGCCCTATCTCAGACTCACTAAATTAGAATTTCTGAAAGGGATTCTTTTCAATGAATATATATAAGTTTTTCTAATTAGTTTAGAGCTTTCAATTTAACAACCTATATACAGGGTCCTATTTCTTGAGTTCATTCTGGATTCTGGGGCACTCAGAAACCTTGATGTCTAAATTACTGATATTGCTTCAAGAGGGAATTTCATTCCAGCAGGAGAGGTACTGAGGCAGTAGGAAGGAAAGTAGGCAGGATTTCCCAGCATGATGAAAGGAGAAAATGATTTTGTAAGTACCTCTAATCCAGGGGGAAAGATGGGAGATTCCTCGATTCTTCACTGAAACTTTAATACTTCTAAACCTTCCTTTCTGATACTAAGGAAGAGGAATTCTAGTAAGTGGGGATCACAGGAACATGACTTTCAAAAGGGGACATGAGGGATGTGTTTGGACAAATGTTTCGTCTAGATGCTTCTCCAAACGTTTACTACTTTCCATATGTTTTATCCTGGCTACTAACAGAGAGTAGGCATTTTCAATCTTACATATTATAATTTTCCACAAACAATAAGTGAAATGTTATGGAATAAATGTGGCATATGTCTATACCTCAAATTAAATGCAAATATTAGAATCAAGTTGCACTTGCTTGCTTTTCTTAATGATTTTGACATGATATGTAATGCAAAAAGGCTTGTTACAAGGTATTTATTTGGTTTTTGTTTTTAGAATACTAAGTAACATTTTTTTGAAATGTTACTTAGTAACATTTCAAATAATGTTTCAAATAATGTTTGAAAACTATGTTTAACATTTTTAAATTTTGCATTAATTATGAAATGCTATGGTTGGAAACCTAAGTGAATTTGCTTCATCTCCTTGGTTCCCAATTTTCTCACTAGCACCTCCTATAAGGTAAGAGTTAGAAGAATGGATTCTGGAGTTAGACTGCTTAGATTTAAAGTATTTATCTCTCAGATTCTGCCCTTGTATATAACCCATTAACTGTACAATACCAGGAAACACAAACAATGAGTCAGGGAAACTGAATTTGGGAGAATGTGGTTTGTGTTGCTAGAGCCAATCTGTTAAATTTATCTTTACTCTCTGTCCATAGATAACTTTTGTAGAGCAACAGCAAAGTGTACTGGAAATAATTAACTTGATAGGATAAAAGAATTAATACAGCAGAGTGCTTAGAGTGGTATCTGGCACACAGTGGGTACTCAATAAATGTTAGCTATCACTATTATTTTATCATCTTGTCATTTTCTAGTCTTTCAGCTAGTTTGTGATGGGATCAGTTATCTTCTTCTGAGCAGATTCTACAGTAATATGATAATTGGGTATGTAGCATCATAATTTGTTGCCTGGGAGAAGTGAGGCTGTTGTTACAATCTTGCCTTCATAAATTCATTTCATGTTCAAACTAGGAAAACAGATGGACAATCTCTTGTGTAAACCTGGAGAGCATCAATAATTAGCAACTATAGTCAGGGCAATTATGACAACCTCCTGGAGATAAATTGTTTGTTGTGTTTTAGGTTTGACACAATCTGTGGTAGGTTTCCCTGGGTAAAATATTGCTTAAGAGATGAGGAGAGGGTACAATTTGAAGTGGAGATAGCCCTGATAGTTGTGATTAAAAACCCATTGTAGGGCTGGGGATGTGACTTAGTGGTTAAGTCACCCTGGGATCAATCCTTGGTACCAAAAAAAATTTTTTTTTTCTTTAATCATGGAACCCAGTGCCCCATGCATGCCAGGCAAGCGCGCTACCGCTTGAGCCACATCCCCAACCCCAAGCCCTTAGTCTTTGAGGAAGACATCTAAAGAAATGTTTAACAATCCAATCTATACGTTAGAAAATAATGAACATAGTTTGTATGGTCCAAATCTTAAACTTAGAAGACCTGGAGGGACCACAGGGTTATCTAAGTCACTGTTCTTCTTCTATGGAGAAGTGTACCAGAGTCATCTAAGATGTATGCATATTTAAACTTATCATTGAGGAAATGTCTCAAGCAAAGCTATAACAATTCTGTTGGTTTCATCGGTAACAGTATTATATTGATTATTCAGAACAACTGGATAGAAAGTTTGGACTGCAGTCCAAACCAGGTAAACTCAAATACCATCTGTGTTGTTTACATGTATGATCTTGATCAAGTTGCCTAATTTTTGTAAGTCTCAGTTTTTCCATCTGTAATATGGATATAATATCTCACAGGGCTTTCATGAGGATTGAACTATATAAATGTGTATAAAGTACCCAGGATATAGTATCAAGTATTAAATAATTAAATAGTTAAATAAGTAGCAATTATTATTATTATTCAGGATCAGCTTAACCCAGTGCTGTGATTAAGGGGCTCTAGGAAAGGATTCTTTTCCCACATAGATATTGCCATCATACTATAGAAAATTTTCCAGTTCACTGAAACAGTGCCTAGAATTTTATTAGTTAGCAAACAAGCATTTTACTAAAGTATAGTTGAGAAATAAAATTGTATATATTTATGGTATACAGGATAATGTTTTGATGTATTATGAAATGGTTAAATCAAGCTAATTAATGTATCCATTACCTCACATACTTATCATGTTTTGTGATGAGAACTTTTAATATCTACTGTCTTGGCAATTTTGTTAAGTATACAATAGATTATTGTTAACTATAGTCACCATGCTATACAATAGATCTCCCAGACTTATTCATTTTATCTATCTGAAACTTTATACCCTTTGACCAACATCGCCCCATCCCCCCATCCCTAACCCTCCAGCCCCTGGCAACTATCATTCTACTCTCTGCATCTATAAGTTGGACTTTCTTTAGATTCTCATGTATGTGAGATTATGTGGCATTTATCTTTCTGTGCCTGGCTTATTTCATTTAGTATAACTTCCTCTAAGTTCATACACATTGCAAAGGACATGGCTTTCTTTTATACAGGCTGAATAGTATTCCATTGTGTGTGTGTGTGTGTGTATCACATTGTCTTCATCCATTCACCCACTGATTGCATATTTTGGCTATTGTGAATAATGCTGCAATGAACATGGGAGTGTTGACATTCCTTCAGCATACTGATTTCATTTCCTCAGAATATATACCAGAAGTGGAATTGCTGGATCATATGGTAGTTCTGTTTTTAATTTTTTCAGGAAGACCCATACTTTTTTCCATAATGACTGTACTAATTTACATTCCTACCAACAATGTACAGTGATCCCTTTTTTCCATATCTTGGCCAACACTTGCTATCTTTCCTCTTTTTGGTAAATAGCCACCATAATATGTGAGGTGATATCTCATTGTCATTTTATATTTGCATTACTCTGATGATTAGTGATGTCAAACATTTGGGGGGGGGGGTACTAGGATTGAACCCAGAGGCACTTTACCACTAAATACTTCCCCAGACCTTTTAATTTTTTTATTTTGAGACAGGGTCTCACTAAGTTGCTTAGGAGCTCACTAAATTGCTGAGGCTGGCCTTGAACTTGTAATCCTCCTGCCTCAGCCTCTGTAGTCACTGGGATTGCAAGTGTGTGCCACCACACCTGGCTGAGCACTTTTTTCATATAACTGTTGGCCTTTGTATGTCTTCTTTTGGAAATTATCTATTCAGTTTCTTTATCCATTTTAAATTAAGTTATTTGTTTTCTTGCTGTTGAGTTCCTTATATATTTTGGATATTAGCCCTCTAAGAGATATATTGTTTACAAATCTTTTCTTCAAGTCCACAGGTTGTTTCTTCACTCTGTTGATTGCTTCCTTTGCTGTGCAGAAGGTTTGTAGTTTGACATAATCTCATTTGTCTATTTTTGCTTTTATTACCTGTACTTTTGGGGTCATATTAAAAAATTCATTGCCCAGACAATTGTCATAGAGATTTCTCCTTAAGTTTTCTTCTAATAGTTTTACAATAGTTTTCTTTCTAATAGTTTCTAATACTTTTACGTTTAAGACTTTAACCCATTTTAAGATGGTTTTTGTATTTGGTGTGCAATTATAGCCCAATTTAATTATTTTGCATTTGGATAGCCAATTTTCCCAACACTGTTTATTCAAGACCCTGTTCTTTCCCCATTGTGTGTCCTTAGCACCTTTGTTGAACATCAGTTGACCATAAATGTGTGGTTTTATTTTTGTGCTTGCTAGTCTGTTCCATCGGTCTATGTGTCTGTTTTGATGCAAATACCATAAAAAATAAATACATGTCTAAAAATGCAAATGATCCATGAGGTATACTGGTCATTACAGTAGTGATGAACTGGTTAACAAGCTCTCTCAGGAATCTATGTTTATTTGTAGTATTTTCCAATTTCCTATCAAGGCCAAAACATTCTGAATATTTAGCAGGCAGCCCTTGCTGTCCTATACTTGCCAGCTCCAGCACACCATTACAATTGTCACCTCTTTTGAAACAACTTGAGGAGGTTGCTTCTCTAGTAACATCTAATTGAAAATAGAAGTTTGTGAGAAAAGATTTTTTTCTTTTTACTCT